TCCTTAAACTTTTTTCTGTTGTTTCCTTGCTCTCCTGCAATTCAGTTGCCATTGTGTTTCTTTTCCTCTTCTTCCTCTTTCTCACATTCATTGGCATTTTTTCTTTAGCCAGTCTTGATGTTTTTCTTTTTCTTTTACTTTCAAATATTCTTTCTCCCATTCCTTTGCTGCTTTTTCCTCTATTTCTTTATTAATTTTTGTTCCCTTTCTTTCCTTTCCTGTTCATTCTTTTTCTGAAGTCATTTCTTGTGTTTTTCTTCAGCAATTATCTTTCTTGTTTCACGTTCTCCCATGTCTTTTCTTTTTTTTATTTGTTGATTTAATTTCTCTAGAGCTTTCTGCTATAGTCAGCCACATTTTTCTTTTTCTTTGTCAACAAACCACACCTCCATGGTGTCAGCTGATTTCCTGTAAGCTAAGATGTTTCTGTCTTCTTGTTCACCTTCTGATTCATCCTCACTGCCAGTTACATCCTTGCTACTCATTCCTTTCAGACTTGCCATCTTGGCCTCTTGAGTCCTCTTTGTCCACAGCTTCCTCATCCTCCCTGTCACCATTGTCCTCAAACTGAAAACCCTGGTGGCCAAGGGGAGGTGAAATAGCTGCACCTCAGATGGAGTGACAGAAAAGCACGCAGATGTCACTACCACCTCCAGCCCCTATCCCTTAATGCCTGTCATGAGAAAGAAGTGGGTCTGCAGTCATCAGGGAATACGGTACAAAGAGAGGGAGAAGCAGCCCCACTGCCAAGTTCAAACGCACCGAGTGGCAGTAAAGCTAGTTTCACCAGTTTTTAAGCTTCATGAAAATAGAATCATACAATTGCGGTTTTTTTTTGTTGTTGTTTTTTTGAGGATGGTCTTGCTCTGTAGCCCAGACTGACCTCAAACTCTCAATTCTCCTGCCTCAGTCTCCTGAGTGCTGGAATTATAGGTCACACCCCACTAGTTATGCTCTTTTGTGTATGGTTTCTTTTCCCTTAACGTGATGCCTATGAACTTTATCCATTTTTCTTTCATAGCCATAATTTCTTCCTTTTTTATTGCTCAATAGTATGCTTTTCCTAATTTTAGAGATTTAGGTTGTTTCCATATATTGGCTTATAAATAAAGCCCTATAAACATTCCTGTACTAAGCGTTTTGTTGACATGTGCCCTATTTTTCTTGGCTATATACCTAGGAATGCTATTACTAGGATCTAGGGCATATGTAGGCTTCACTTTATAAGAAATTGATATTTTCCTAAGTAGTTGTATAATTTTACTCTTGCATCTTAAAATATGTGAATTCTGGTTGCTTCACATCTTCCACAACAATTATCATTGTCAGTGTGGTGGTAATTCCAATGGGTATGAAGTGGCATTTCATTGTGACTTAGTTCCCCTGATGATTAATTATGAACAGCTTTTCATGGACTTATCAGGCCACTGAAATATCTTCTTTTGTAATATGTCTGTTTAAGTCTTTTATCATTTAAAAAATAGTCATCTTTTTAGTCTTGATATGTGGTAGTACTTTATATATTGTGGATACAAATTCTTTGTCAGATATACATGTTGTAAATGTTCTTATCCAGCCCATGGCTTGCCTTTTCCTTTTTTTATTTATGTCTTTCAACAGACAGAAGTTTTTCATTTTGGTGAAAGGCCAATTATCAATCTTTTCCTTTTACGATTAAAAACTTTTTGTGTCCTCTTTATAAAATCTTTGCTTACTGCAAGGTCATCAAGATACTCTATTTTTAAAAGCTTTATAATTTTAGCATTTATGACTCTATTTTGAAAACAAAAGATTGGACTGGTGGAGTGGCTCATGTGGCATAGTGCCTGTCTAGCAAGTATGAGGCTATGAGTTCAAATCCCATATTGACAAAAAAGAAAGAAAATAAAGATCTGTGGAAAACTGAAGTCTCTCTCTTTCTCTCTCTCTCTCTCTCTCTCTCTCTCTCTCTTCTCTCTCTCTTCCTTCCTTTCTTCCTTTCCTCTTTCTTTTTTTTTTTTGGTACTGAAGAACGAGTCCATGACCTTATGCACACTAGGCAAGTGCCCTATCACTTGCTGTACCACTGAACTGCAAATCCCCAGCCTAAGAATTAAATTCTTAGCAGTATTGAATCTGTATTCTGGCTTAAGGAAAGTTTTTCATGAAGGTGTACAATATTTGTCAAAGTGGTAAGACTGAACATAAGATTTTCATTATTTAACTTCAAAATGCCACCATTAGTTAATGATGTGTGTGTTGTTAGATCAGTGTCTAAGCTTTGGTGAATATTGCATTCCTGAATCCTCTACTTGCTTTCTTAATTCTCTGAAAGAAGATCTAGAACCGTAACACTGACTTTTTCCAAATTGTTTTTAGGAGCTCATGAAACAGCATGAAAGTGACACCTTGAAAATACAGGAGCTGGGAAAGACCAAAAAGGTAAGCTTTTTCATTCTTTTCTGTGGAATTGGTTTCTCACAAATATATCAATTAAATGGAATCTATGATCATTTTCTCTAGGACACTAAAAATTGATTACCTGAAGCTCAGTTTGCTGGATTCAATAAGACAAGAAGGATTTGGGAATTGTCTACAAAACAAAAACATCTGTGCCTTTTTTAGAGAAAGATTTGAACACATATATCAGCAATCTATTGTGTGATTGTCAATGTTAAAAAACTTCCATTTCTAGCCATGCTTAAACCTCAGAAGGAACTTGAATTACAAGATGTCACATTCTTCTCTTTGAGCCCTGAAAATTCCAAACCACCCCCATGAAACTGTCTCCAGGACTCTCCTTAAAACCTCTGGGTGTACCCTGCACAGAGTCCTTTCTGCAAGGGACTCTATTCTGCTGGGACACACTGAAGTGAAGTTGTTCAAACCCACAAAGTGCCCTGTGGTTCCTTCTTCACTGAGAATTTAATTTGGATCCAGAATGGACATGTCTGTGGAAAAGACTAGTCATTAGAAAGTCATTATAAGGGAATGGTATCTTAGAGCCCAGGTGGGATCAGAATTATTGAATGGCAAACAGACTGATATCCTACCCTACCCTAAAGGATGTATTTTGGAGTCAGGTAGAACTAAAATATAAATATTGTATATTATTATTAAAATATTACAATAACTGCTTCATTGAACTTGTCTACTACTTTTATCATTTGTGTCACTTTTGAGTCTGTTTCAATTAATTGATTTTTCTCTTCATGCGTGGCCATATTTTCTTGTTTGCCTGTCTAGTAGTTTTTTATTAGATACTGGCTATTGTGAAGTTTACCTTGTTGGATGCTGAAGGTTTTTAATATTTCTTTAAGTATTCTTGAAATTTGTTCTAGGATGCAGTTAAGTCACTTGGAAATAGTTTGATTCTTTCAAGTCTTGCTTTTGAGCTTTGCTTGCAGAATTAAAGCATTCATTAGTGTAGAGCTTGGTTTTCCTCACTGCTGAAGCAGGGCCCTTTGGATGCTCTCCCCAGCTTCTGCATTAGAAGGTTTGTTCTTCTGCCTCAATTTCCCCAGTAGCTAAGACAATAGGCAGATGCCACTGGAGGTTTGTTCTACTGGCAGGTAGGACTGTGAACTACCCCTAGTCCTGTGTTGGCCCAAAAGTTGTTCCATCTGCTCTTTTCTTTTCTCAACCTCATCTATTTCTCACCTCCATCACTCTACTGAGAGGCCTCCTTGCTGTTGGTTAAAGATGCCATATGCTCCTATCTTGTGGTCTTTGCTGTAGATATTCTCTGTTCCTAGAAGTCTCTTTCCCAGATACCTACATGGCTAATTTCCTTTCCTCATTTTGGTCTTTACTTAAATGCCACATTCTCAGGAGTCACCCTATTTAAAGACTCAGCTACCTACCCCAACACTTTCTCTGTTTTTATTTTTCTACACAGACTTATAATCATCTGAGCAAATAAATTCAATGAAAGAAGAACTTTTTGCCAGTTTTCTATATTACTAATCCTTAGTTCCTATATAGTGCCTGGCATGTCACAGTCATTCAGTAAACAGTACTTGACTTTTTTGAACGAATAAATGAATGAAAGAATGCAAAATGACCTGGTATAGTGCTTTGCACAATGAAATGATAGTACGTGATGGTACTTCTCCAGTTCATACAACTCAGAAGGTTGCACATTACATGGAAAGGACTCTAGTTTTGAGGACATGGAGAGTTAAGTGGGGTTGACACTTGGAGAGAGACACCCATCTGGTTCACCTTTAAGCCTCTTTAATGCCTATTAGAATGCATATGGTACCTACTCAATTCTGGTTTCAAGATACTACAAAGATGATAGATAGGGAGAAATGTGTATGTTTATGATGAGATATAAGTACAATATAATTCCTTCAGAGGAAAGAACCTTTAGTCCTATTGAGGGTGGATCCATGTGAGAGATTGGAAGGGATTCAATATAGCATTTGGCTGGTTTGGACAGATGACCAGTGTTTCTGAAACTCAGAACATAGAGAGGGTAGACATGGAGTTTCAACTTGAGGGGAAATCATGAGCAAAGTTGGTGACATAGTGAAAGGACCTGGTGTATACAAGGAGCAGCAAAACAGATGAGAAAGGGTGACTTAGGGCCAGCAGTTGAGGCTCCTAGTTTTAACTAGAGTCTTACACTCACACGGTACCCCATGCCAGCCTTGGAATTGGGTTCACTCAGGGGCTATCAGTAGGAATCCCAGGATGTTTAGAGGGCAGCATCAAGGGTGCCTGCTTCTGAGGGGCCTCAGAACCATTCTCACAGTCACCTAGGGCTAATGTCCATGGCCTCCAGGAAGCAGTTCAGGTAAGGGGAAGTGAGACTCACATATGTGGCTGCAGGAGCCTCTTGTCCCAATGTCTTCTGAAAGCCCTATTGTTAATGTCTTGCATTAGGATGATATGTTAGTTACAATTGACCAGGCAGTATTGATGCATTTTATTAACTGAAGTTCAGGTTTATATTAGGTTTGACTCTTGGTATGTTGCACATTTCGTGCATAATGTTATATATAACTGCCTTAAAAATGCCCTCTGTTCCCCCTATTCATCCTCCTTTCCCCTCCCAATCTCCAGAAACCATTAATATTTTTACAGTCTAGAATTTCAGCTTTTCCAGTATCATAGTTGAAGTCAGTAGTAAGTATTTAACAGGGACTTTAATGATTAAATGGTTGATAGCAATTGTGACCATCCATTTGAGCTCTGATGCGGGCTGGCTCTGCAGCAGCAGCAGCAATGAGGCTGACATGCAAGATATAGATGGACAAGACAGAGAGGGACAGAATTTACAGTGTGTGGTGACTGGTTGACTGTGAGTGGTACAAAAGAAAGAGTAGCTAAACTTGGTGCACAGCATTCTAGTCCAGGCTCCCTGGAGGAGAGAATAAACAGGGAGAGATTGGCATGAAGCCCTGAGACCATTTCTTCTTGTGCAGATCATAGAGGAAGAGTTGCATGCACAAGCCATTATTCTGGAGTCACTTAACACAACCCTTTATCAAACCCAAATGGAACTCCAGAAAGAGGTAAGTCCTAGTTGGGTGGTGGATGGGGAGGAATCCAGGTCTCTGTGCTGTTCTGTCATATAGCTCTGCCCTGGGATGGCTCTGGGGAAGACAGCTATTAAAATTTATGTCTTTCAGAAAGCGACGGTAGGAAATCTGGAGAAAATGCTCCAGTCCAAGATTGCTGAAACTGAAGAAAAGTATAAGAACACCATACAGATCCTGACTGAAGAAAATATTCAATTAAGGTAGGTATGATTGCTGCTGCTCAAAATGATATGGCTGAGTAACCTTTAGAAATGGGAGGGTGTTGGGTGAGGAATAAGTTAAGAAGATAAACCAGATACTTCTTACTGATGTAAAGGTACCTGTACATTCTGGACAGAGTAATGTCACTCATCCTGGATGCACAGTTACCTGCCTAAGGTCAGACAGAGGTACAGTGACCAAGGTGTCACTTGAGGTGTACCGTTCATATGGGATGTGTCTAGACTTCTCTCCCTTTCCTGTGCCTCTGTTTCTATGCAAAATGATGCAGGAAATTTATCTTTTGAATCTCTCAGTTTGTTCAGCCCTGTGACTGAGGGTTGTTTTTCAACTATTTTCCCTGAGAGTTAGTGATTTTAATATTAGTGGTTTACCTTCAGATATAACTGCTTCTGGTTCCTGCAGAAACCAACTTCAGATCAGAAATTATACTATCACCTGAAGGTTCATCCTAAAGCATTAAAATAAAAGTTGGTCAACACTTTACAAAAGGGAAGTTACTCATTGCTATGACTCAGTAGAAATTTTCCTAATATGGGAATGTGGTCATCCAACTACTATATCTTACCAAATTCAAACCTACTGCAAATATTGAGAGACTGCTCCCTCTGAAAGGAAGAAAGCTACATTTCGCTCCCCTCTTACACCCCACAAAATACCCTGTACCTCTATCTACCCTTTGAACCTGTGAATAGTGCCATTCAGTCTGTGATCAGAAGACCTCCAAATTCTTTGTCCCACAGGGAAGAATCCATGCAGGACACATGGTATAAATAGAGTCTATTAAAAATTAGGGAAGGGAAAAACAAAGGGAGCATGGTGGGGCCCAAGTGCAGTCTGCAAGCAGAGAGAGAGCGAACTTCTCTTTCTCAGGTACTTTTAAACCTTATGCTACACATATGAATAAATGAATAAAGAAAAAAAACTTACGCTAGTCTATGGGAAGGGAGGAACTAGGTGATTCTTATCCAATGATCAGTGAGGGCAAAGGGGCACAGGCGGTCCCTGGCCAACCTACATGAGTCCCGAACTTCCCCTATTCTAGCATGCCTCAAGTCTATTGTGATAGCTCTTTCCTTTGTCTTTATAGGCAAAGGATAATTGCCAAGAATGAAGAACTTTATGAAGGAAGATCTGAAAGGTCGACCTCTGTTACTACTTATGTGTATGAATATGAATCTGACTTTATAGAAGATGACAGTGACAAAAGACAAGTATCATAAACAAAAAGTTGTTCTCCATAGCTGAAGCGGGTAGGGACACTATTCCTGTAGTTCCAGGGAACTCCTGAGAAGTTGTCTTGAGAAATGCATGTGATATGTTTTCTTAGGTTTCTCTGACTCTATTTTTGTCTTTTCACAGTTTGCTTTTTTTTTTTTCTGAGTGGCTGGGAATAATTGAATTCTTATGTCAATTGTATACCTTATCATGACTCTCACTGAAAACTGATGTTCTCTGTGTCTGAAGCTTGGTATGCTCTAGGTTGTGTATTATGTCTCTTCCACTTTTATAGATTTTATTAAAAAGAGACTTGTTTGAAGGCCTTCTTCCTGTTGAATAGACTGTATTTTGAGCTGTCCCTTGGAGCATTTAGCTAGCAAGACAGATAATTTATTGATTTGCTGCCACAACCTTTTTCTCTCATATATTGAGTCCACATTCCTCCACCTTCCAATGATGTTCCCTAATCTATGAATTTGGAAAGTGTCTGATGATTCTTGCTCCCTTCTCTTAACTATCACCAGAATTCAAATGCCCACAGGGCAGGCAACATAATCAAATGAAGTGGTTTGGACTTAAAGAAAAATCACACAGCACAGAGGCTTCTAATGAAGCCTCATTACAGCAGATTGTATGGAGATGGAGCTGGAGAGGGGACTGATGAACTCAGTCACATTCCATTGATGAAGGCACTTCCCAGACTCATCCAGTTGTTACAGTTCAGCTGCATGGAGTCAATGTTGTTGGACATGCTGATTTTTCACACAAAAAAAAAATTGTGAAAAAAATACTGTGAGTTTTATGTGGTAGTTCTCAATTTTAAAATGTTAACAACAAATGTCAACAATACAACTGTGGGGGCTGGCAGAGTTGCTCAAGTGGTACAGCACCTGCCTAGCAAGGGTTGAGGGCCTGAGTTTAAACTTGATTCCTAAAGATTTAGAATGAGTTCCTCACAGAAAGAAAAACAGGGAAAGACAGAGACAGAGACAGGAGTAGTGTGGTGGATAGCTTGGAGAAGGACTTTTTATTAACTTTTAAATATTAAGTTATACTTTTTCATTTTATCAAAAGTACAACAAAAATAATACCACATTTGTAAACGTCTAATAGTAGCTGGTATTGCAAAGCCAGATATTTAATTCATAAAATAATTAAAGTGCTCTGACTTCTATTTTCCCTTCTTTCCATCCAAAAAAAGTGCAAAACATTTACAGCTTAGTAATTAATAAATATAGTGTCGTACATGTGGAAAGTAGCATCACTTAAGAGGGAAGAAGAGTTTTTTCCTTAGTGTGAAGGTAGGCTGTGGCATCTGTTTCCCCATGTTCTTCCAGTCGTCTTTATTGCTCACTTCATAGTTTACTTCAGTTAGGATGGTGAGAATGTCATCACCTCTGAAAAACATATTTCAACATCATGATTATCCATAGGGGAAGAAAACTGACCCACCATCTCATCTGTTGTGCCCATTGAGAATTCTATAGTTTTTTTCTCTCAAAACATTAGACATTTGAAACCCTAAGTTGCTAAACCAAGAGCTGCCACAGCTTTTCATGAAACTGACTTTTCTCAGAGCTTAATAACTTATCTTTGGCTTATTCAGAAACTTCAATGCCAGTATCAGATTTGATTTCTTTCCCTCCCAACCTGTATGTATCTCACTCTGTTCCATATGCTATGTCACTTGGCTGTCACAAGTTCCTCAATGCCCCCAATGCCTTTTCCCTAAAATCAACATTGCTTCTGTGGATTCATCTACAGTACAGTCAAACTTTAGGTAAGTAAAAGTCAAATGTTTCCTGCAGCTATCTCTACCCCTTTGTTGCCAGGTTATCTTAACAGTTTTGTTGGAATTCTTCATCTTTCTC